CGACATCCAGCAGGTTTGACGACAGACACCCACAGGCGGCAATCCTATAATGATTTAAACTGGCTGTGATACTGCGGTGCAGAAAGCAAAGGGAAAACTACTGCATTAAATCTCCCAAGAAAAGCTCCATGACAAATACAAATCATACTACGGCCTCGAGTCTCCGGCGTCCCTTTAATGGGACAAGGGTGCTAAGAATCTCCGGAGGGAAAAATTAAAATAAAAATAGATCATTAATAAAACATATTGCTACGTGGAATGTTAGACCTTTATATCAATCAGGAAAGCTAAAAAATGTACAACTGGAAATGAAACGTCTGGGCCTGCAAGTCCTTAGAATTAGCGAAGCTAGATGGACCGGATCGAGAACTAAAAAGTGGAGGTTATATTACTTATTACTCCGGAAAAAACGGATGATGTTCATGAAAATGGTGTTGCTATAATTCTTGAGGAACGACTTGAAAATCGAGCTGTTAAAGTAATCCTGAATACCCTTTGAGGAAATATGATGAAGATCCACTGGACTTTGCGTACGCAACACCAGCGTAGATTAAATACTTAAATGATTTAAGATGTTAAATTGTAATATTTGGCGTGTTAAAAAGCCATACGCTAAATAAATAAATATACCCGATAAACGGAAAAGAAATAAGGAAGGAAATTAGAGACATACACAAAAATAACTTTCGCAAGAGGAAAATGTCAATTGAAATGCTAAATGAATATCTAGATATTTTTCAATTTAAGTGTTTTTAGAAAAATACCGCAAAGGTAGAACAACCTGACAACAATCTTGATACTGGATAAAAAATGAGTACTTTTTGGAAAGTACTTTGCCTATTTGGCCTTATTACCTTCTAGTATCCTATACACTAGAGCGGAATTCCTGCTATATTCTTATAGACGTCTCTACGTACACCTCTTGAGATGTGTATGTAGAGATTGTTAATATTTTTAATGGCAAGGTTTCTTTCAATTGAAATAGGTCTATTTATTTGGGGTTTAAGTATCATAACTTTCATTTTTTGGTGTTTATTTGCGGATCTGCTACTATTTGGTTTTTAATTTATGCATTATTTGCTCTCTTTTATATTTATTATCCAGAATACCAGTATTAACCGTGGACCTTAATGTTTGTTTATCTTATACCACTATACTTTCATGTCAATGGTCTATTACTATTTTCATTATGATAAACTATAAGGAAAAAAAGGGTCAGTCAAGACCTATTTGTTATACTATTCAAATATTTCATTATAAACCAAAACAAACACCGCCGCCACTGATCGCTTTCAATACGTAGTCCAGTAAAAACTTTAATGATTTAATATTCAGGGAGAAGATAGATCAATCCCAATATCTACTACAATTCACAAATATTTCGATTCGATTAGTTTATTGACGACGTTTCCAGCAAAAGGCCGCTTTTAAACACTACTATTAGCTACCACAAAAATGTTTTTGTCTTCTTTAGATTTTTGGAATGACAGGTGATTTATTTATGTTATTTTAAGTGATTGTCACATGTTTAATTCAATAGTATAAAGATTTTTTCTAGACATTTTATACATAGAGTTTCGTTATCAATTTTTTTCTTGTTTGAAACTGCTTCAACCACAAGGGTTATTAGCAATGGCCGATTTTACAGATAACATAAATAAAAAAAAACAAAGAATACAATTAGATTTTGTTGATTAGTTCTGAGGAAACCAAAAAAAGTATGGTACCATCGTGACCACTATGTTCACTTAGAATGTCTTTTATTGTTGTAGGTAACTATTCATGTTGTCTTTCAAATGCGTACAACGGATACTCCACTAATAAGTGATGTACTATTAACACAAAGGTTTTGATTGCTTTTGTAGTAGAAAATCATGTGTGATCTTGGTGTGTTAAAATCGCAGTCTGGAGATGAAAACTTGATCTCATCTTCTCTGATCTCTGATCTAAGGTTAGAATTTGAGACATCCCATGTTTCCTGCCATTTGTTCATTATTTTCTTTTTAAAATATAGTTTGACATCAAGGTGGTGACAAGTAGACATTGGCAATGAAATTGGTTTCTCAATTGCTTGTTTTGCAACGTTGTCGACTCTTTAATTTCCTTCTATTGAAGGTGTCCAAAAAAACTGAACAGTTCAATTATTGATTTGGTCATATCATGAGTTCCGACTTAATTAAACTTAAAATAGGGTGTTGTAATGACGGTAATGAACTCAATGCATCTCTAATTATTAGGCTATTAACAATGTTATTTTCATTGACGAATTTTATTGCCTGAAGAATGGCAAATAGTTCAGTAGAGAATATAGTAAATTGCTTAGGGAGTTGAAATAACCGTTCTTCGCTGGTTGTTACAAATGCAGCACCCACTCCATTTTCCGATTTTGACGCATCAGTATAAATATGGATGGCCTTGTGATGACTATTTAACTTCTCTAAGACTTTGGTTTTAAAGAGGTATGATGAAGTGTCAGATTTTTTAAGTGATATAAGACTGATATCGCACTTTGGGAGAGATATTGTAAATGGTGGAGGATTATCAGAATTCGTAAGTGTGTATATAGAACGTACAGTGATGTCTAGGTTATTTAGAATTGTGCTGATACGATGATATAATGGTGGATCTAATCCTTCTAAGCTGAAGTGAAGACTTCCCAGATTCACAGTACATGCTCTTGATAGGGCTTGTGTAATGTGTCCGCGTTATTAATTTTGCCTACAAAATTTATAATTTTTAGCGCACAATATCTTTTGTAATTATGGACGTGTCATTCCCGTTAACATTTTTTTAATAGGTATTTGTTAAAAATAGTTACAAAAAGTATAGTTATTGGGACACTCAAATTTAGTAATTGGACTTCTGTTGTAATACAATAGAAAACTAGAAACAAATTAAAACTATAAGAGAAACCAAAAATTTCTCTGAAGTATGGAGAACCTATACACAGTTAACACAATTCATTCTTATTGCTTCGATGCTTCTTTGTATTGAGCGAAAAGTTCTCCAACGTCTTCATCTTCATTATCTTCGTGACTGTAATTACCGAATCAGTATCGTTTAGATTGAAGCAGTTGTGACATACAAATTGATCACCGTTGCGTCGTTAGGTATATGTTATCTATTCCTAACAGAAATTCAATATTAGTCATAGTAAAGACTACAATCATCGCATCTTAATTTATTCGATTGAATATCATTTAAATAAATATTGTACAAAAAGGGTGTACGTATGTGAAATTATAACTATAATTCCAGTGTATGAGGACTGTATTACATTACATTCAATTAAATTAGGATGTGTAGTAAAAGGATTATACAGATTATAGCAAATTAAGTTTATACAAAGTCTTACCAATACTCTGCTGCAACACAATTGCGGTACTTACAGGCTTTCACTCGCGGTTGGGGAATCTGTCCGGGTACCGGTTTCTGAACACGTATCTCGCGGTAGTAACAATGAGATCACGAGATAGAGCACATTTGCGTCTGTATACGATTTAAAAAAGCATTTGGGTCATTTTTGGCGTAACTAAAAGTGGGTAAGAGAGAGAGAACGTCTGTTGTTAGCGGCAGTCAATAGTAGAGAGGATACCTCTGTTACGAACAATAGTCAACAGAAAAGAGAGAGCGTCCGTTCCCAACGATAGGTAACAGGCAAGCGAGAGTACTGTTCCTTTCGATAGGCAACAGACAAGAGAGAGCGTCTGCTTGTTAGCTATCATACAACTGTCTGTATTTCTAATGGAGTGGGTTGAAATGTGAGTAGGAAGGGTTGAAGAGTGGGAAATAATTGTAAAATTGTGGTAGAAGGATATTTAGTAATACAGCGAAAAAATGACAGATTTTCGCAGTGAAAATGAACAAATAAAACTTTGACTTTTTTTGTTGCTACACTGATTTTTTATTAATTTTTTCTCCGTTTTTCGATTCCTTTCTTGTTTTTGTTTTTCCTCTTCTTATTTTAATTCCTCATTCTTTCGTAAGCTTTCTTAGTCGGTCGAAGTCGTTTAACGTTACATTTATCTTTTATTTCCGGTACAAATCGAGAAGTTAAAATATTTGCCAATAAATTATGTTATACAATAATTTTACTTATGTATGGTAAGTTACAAACATTAGTTTTACATTATAGAGTATTGACATCATTAGTACACTGAGAAATATTTATACTTTCGATACCACTTTGTTCTGATTTAACGGGATGTGATATACACTATATTTCGAATAATATTAATGTTTGTGTCTCTATTTTTTGAGAACCGTTGGATTATTCTAATGTTTTGGATCATGTTTAAAGAAATTCCAAATTTTGAACAATAACTCAAATTTTCATCGTAGGTGGATTGTTCATTGGATTTTCTTTTTAATTCTCTAAGATACGAACTTTTTCAGAACCTAAGATATTTACAAAAGTAATATAGTCCATCTTGGGTTTCTTTCGTAGATCTTCTGAAATGTTTCAATTTTTTACTATTTCTTTACCTAAACATTTCGTGTAGTCAAAACATCTGCTTTAAATGGGAACAATCCGCAAACCTTGAAAGAGTACAACAGCTGAAACTGAAAAAAGTTACTACTGTTTCAGTTTTAGTTTTTTTTTTGTCGTTTGCTCCAATATGAAAAAACTTCAGTGTTGTGTAAATAGTGTTCATTCCATTCCATGGTTATAATTTTAATATTAATTTTTAATTAGGCGAGGGTCACAAACATTTGCAATATACTGAAGATATCACTACTATCACCAGACGTTTCATCACACTCAAGACTCTCAGCGAGTGGATTCTAGAATCATCCTAGCCTATCGTTTGTTTGTTTGAATCATCTGTAGATTCACCACGCCTTATTAAAGTTACAGTCGTAATTAAAATACGAAATAAATAATAAAATTGCTGTATTCAATTTTAAACAATGTTATTTAAAATTTAAAAATACAGAAAACAGTAGGAAGCTTCTCGCTAGTCTATAGTACCGCCTGCTGTACCACTTTTTTGTTTTAGGGTATTAGAAGATAAGCGTAGTCACTATGAACCATCAATTCAAGGAACTGCCGAAGTAGATGAACTTGATGATCATGATTTGTACGTACCTCATTTCCAACGCGTTTCAATTTCTGGAGAAGACACAAGTGGAGTAAGTAATTTTTATGATCTATATTTACTTTTAGAAAATTAATTTTTCGAACGAAATTAACTTTATGATACCACCGATCAAAAAAAAATACTTTGTCTTTGTTTAGCCTTCATTTTCCTTTTATTTTGGGCAAATTGCGCATGTATTAACTTCATATAGTTGCTACCTGAGTGCTTAGGGTAATACTCCACCCTTCTCGGGGGCAGCCCACATCACTGATGATTAAACTTATGTGATTCCTTCTTTCATAAAAAATAAATATTAACCCTTAACTGGTATGGTTGTAACGAATTATTTTGCTTACCCCAGGGTAAGAACATGGGAGAGAAGATTGGGCAAACACAATAATCGAAACTAGTGCGTACGGCACTCAGAGGGTTGTTGGAGAGCTGGGTCGTGGATAAGTTGAAATAAAATTGGTTGGATTGGGGTATCTACAAAATGAAAACAAAGGGATACTTACATAAATCTCCTGGGCAATTAATACAACAAAAAATGAAGCTTCTAGCCATTTAAGATAAGGGCGCCGCTTCGAAGGATCCTAGTTTGCTGAAGGAAAGAAAAAATTCTTCTTTCCTAAAATCAAAAATACATACAAGGATTAGGAGACTTTTCTAAATTAAAACACAAAATGGATCAGACAAACAAATCAAACGTTTATTTTTGTCTCAAACAAACAGTTTTCAAAAATACAGATTACACAAGAAGCATACTATATACATAATACAAATTAACAAAAACTTACGTGTTATTTGTTTACAAAAGAGATTGCTACAAAAATTTTGAAATGGTTCCTAGGTTATAATATGGCCAAATTAGATTATCAAAAACTTATGGATATCCTTTTTATAAAAATACTGTAGAATTTAACCTTATATATGAAATATCTTTTCTATATAATAATCAAATGAAAATTGTTTTACAACAACAATGGATTAGAGCAAAATGTCATATGTCAACATAACATTTTAAGACAGAATAAAATATGACATTTTTTAGCTACGACTCTAACATAATATAAAACTTTAATTATTACAAATTCTTTTATTTTAATGAAAGCAATTATTAAAAATGTCTATATAACTTGGAAAAAATATAATATATTGAATTGTTACCTTAATTCACATACTTTGAACTTAACTTTGAAACAAAACTTGCTAAATCTCTGGGATTGGAGCTGCAAGGACAAATTCTCAAACTGGAACACAGGGAACCATTTCCATACTCAGGAACGAAGATCTGACGTAAATGGTCGGTGGAGAATCAAGCAGGCAACAAAAAAAACTGGTGGGACATCCTATATATAATCTTCAAAAATTCCATTAGTCTTCGGTACACTGCTATAAATCTTCCGATGATTACTCTGTCTAAATGCTATTAATGCAAAGAGTATTAACATCTTACCGGTCTTAGACATAACACAAAAAAATTGAATCGACTTTTGATTCAAATTTGCCCCATACATTTCACCTCGTCTAAGTGCTATCTTGACTCTACATCGTTCGGTTGATCAGGCTTGACTTTCACTTGCTTGACTGTCTATCTGCCTTCAGTTTTAAAATTTCAACGTAAATCCCAATTCTTTTCACCTCTCCGAAAAAGTTGCGCCACAAAACCTAAACAAACAATATTACCCCTCGCTCGTCCCTACGAACTACCACAAAACATCTTTATTTTTACCTGACAATGTAACAGAAAGTTGGAGATTTGAATGTAAACACAGACAAAAACATCTATATTTACTTTTGAATCGGTAGAAATACACGTATTATATTGATTATTTTAAGCGGAATAATTTTCTACCTGACAATGTAACAGAAACAAAACATCTATATTTTTGCCTTATCTCGTCAAAAAAACTTGAAATATTCTAGTTCGAATATCAAAATTTAAAACATACATTTAACTTCTCCGCCGAAATATAAAAAAAAAACTTGCTATAACTTGAGATAAACAACCAGGGGCGTTACTACAAAGATTTAAAACCGAATTTATAATATTATATAGACATTAAACATAAAACGCTACATGGTGAAAAAAACAACACGTTTAAGGTATGGCGGGGCCAAATTAGACCTTTGGATTTTTTGTGTAAAATAGAACAAAAAATAAATATACAACAGTGAAAATAGTAGTATATTGCTAATAATAAAGCTATTGAAACCAGCATATCTTACTACGAATGATTAAGGAACAAACTATACAGGGTCAATAACAAAACTAGGTTAATGTTGAAAATCTTGAAACAGACAGAAAACACATTATCGTGTCGAAAATACAAGAATTCTCATTTAGAACTGTTCATATATCTTAAAAAATTCAGATCAGAAGTTAATTTGCGAATATAAAACAAATCAACAAACAAGGTGCTGATGCTTACATCTATTACAAGTATTTGTTTATAACTTTTGTTAAAAATGTTATACATACACATGATTGTTTGTTATCATTACGTGGACAAATATAACACCTTGCGTGTTTAGATGCTCTTTCAATGGGCGTATCTTGGTCTTGGTTATCGTGTGCGATATGGCCTACTCGACGAATAACTTATCTTAATTCCCTGGGAATATTTACTGTTTGAACACGCTGGAATTAAGCGGTCCTGTATGAGTTCTTTTTCTAAAGCGATGATAAATTTTTGCCGTTTCAATTCAGATTTTTGATGGGCATTGTTATATAAAATACCAACATTTACGCTGGTAAGCCTTTACTAACATTGTAAAAATATATTATATCTGACAGTTTTTTTCTGTTTGCAAAACTTTGTCATGAGACAAACTGATCTATTTTTTGTTGGTACGCGAGAAAGCAAGGTTACATCTTTAGAAAAACCAAAGTCTGAAGAATAAACCTCGCGTTGATTGGTCGGCAACTGTCTTTTGGTTGTTCTGATAGTACTTACATAAGTAAGTTTACGTTGTTGTAGCTCGTTGATCAGCCCTAGCGAGGAAAACCAGTTATCCCCAGTCACATTGCGGTTAGATTTCACTATTGGACCAACTAACGAAAGAACATTGAGAGCTGGTATGGATATCTCCTTGTGATTCGGTAATCTGTTTTCTTTTCCAGCTTATACAAAAGCTTTTAATAAATAGTGGGTGCAGACATTATAAATGCACATTATTTGAATCGATATTTTTCTGCCTTACTTTCATAAACATTCTAAATTTGCGCTTACCTCGAAAACCAACCAAGATTCATCTATAAATACGTTTATATATTCTCCAAATGAATAGTTAGTATAACAGTTATTCACGAAACGATTAAAAACTTTAGAAATAGCTGCCAATTTGCCCCCGTATTGATTACGCTTATTTCTGGCATTTGAATCGTCAAATCTCAAAGCTATTACTAGAAAACTAATTTTTATGCTGTCATTACGAAACGGACTACGTCACGAGCTGTACCATCAGTTGCAAAGAGGGAATTTATATATTCATTGTTAGACTTGAATACTTTGAACAGGCCTGCCAAATACAGTAGTCCAAAAAACGCTAATATTTCGGTTTTATCAACGTGGCTTATAAATTGACAATTCAAAGCATTAAATCCTTAAGTTTTTTGTAATCCTGTAATCCGTTCATTCGTGTACTCAATAATCTGGTCAATAATTGTGTCATCGAGTAACAGATTGACGACTTCAGCAGGCGTTGCCGACTGACGTATTAGTGCTAGTCCAGAATAAAGAAAGTATATTATTCCTTTAAAGTCAAAGAAAGAACATTTTTTTTATTAAGCATATATGTTTAATGCACACGCGAGAATAATGTATTTTTTAAAATAATTGTTTTAAAGTAATCTTATTTTTTGTATATATCAGTTTGTTAATAATGTTTGATTGGTTGATTGATTTATTTTCAAAAAAAAAAATTACCCACTTTTTCATGCTTGTTCTACAATTTTGATTTTACCTAAAAGCTTCTTTTTTTTAATGCTTCTTTCCTAAAAAACTATTATTTCTTCTTGTTATGCTGCCCTATCCACTTAGTGGATGCGGCGACAAATTCTGGCATACTCCTCTCGATCTTATGTGGCTCTAAGGAGTGCATGGGTATCGAGGTTTGTCAAATCCCTTATGTTTTTGAGCCATGAGTATTTCTTTCTTCCGATGCCCCGTTTTCCCTCTATCTTCTCTTCCATAATAAGCTTTAAGAACTGGCACTTGTAATTTTGAAATATATGACCCAGATTAGCAGTTGTTCTTCTTTTTATTATTGGCAGCTATTCTCGTTCTCTGCCCATTCGATTTAATACATCGACATTTGTTGTATGATCTGTCCTGGGAATTTTAAGTAGTCTTCTAAATAACCACATTTCAAAGGCCTCCAATCGGTTTATCACATTGGGCTTTATGGTCCATTATATACATTAAATGTAACAAATAGGTAAAGAAATAATAAATAAGACTTACTCACAATCAATTTAATTTAACTATCAGACGACCGGTTTCACTTTATACAATATGGAAAGCATCTTCAGGTCTCGATACAAAGTTAAATAAATGCTGAAATGATAAAAACCCATATTAGGGTGTTTTCTAATAAAGATAAACAAATTAGATGTTGTAAATTACAATAATTATGCCAATATTACATGTCTGTGGTTTTATTTCAAATAAGTAAGTTGAATAAAAAGCTATAAAAGTTTTAAAAGTTTAAACAGACAAGGTGTGGGTACCCACACAATTTGTACATCTAAACTTATTCATTGTCATAAAACTGTCACTTCATAAAACAATTACTCAATAAATAACACACATTTCATAAATATATCTCTCGAATAAGTATAAAAAACTTTTAAATAATACAATGGTATATAACATCACTTTCATTTAACAAACAATCACACACATATCTCTGCTTCATTGGATCAAATCTATCTCCTCAAGAACTTCCCGTTTACTGTCAAACAACTACAATAGCAGTATTGAGTTCTCCATTCAACAATACATAGTAGTTTCAACCATGTTCTACCATCCATCATTTAATAGATTACCGGCATGTAAGTAATGTTTATTTATTTGCTCATTTATTAATTTATAACAGTCTAATAGACTATTTTATAACAATTTGTGGGCCTTACCTTGTCCGTTTAAACTTTTAAAACTTTTTATACCTTTTTATTCAATTTAATCATTTTGAAATAAAACCACAGACATGTAATATTGGCATAATTATTGTAATTTACAACATCTAATTTGTTTATCTTTATTAGACAACACCCTAATATGGGTTTTATCATTTCAGCATTTATTTAACTTTGTATCGAGACCTGAAGATGCTTTGCATATTGTAGAAAGCGAAACCGGTCGTCTGATAGTTAAATTAAATTGATTGTGAGTAAGTCTTATTTATTATTTCTTTACCTATTTGAACTGGACTCACACAAGCAACACATTCATGATTATAAATGTAACATTTTACAAAGCAATATCGAAGCGTTAAGACTGCTGTTGCTTAGCAAGGTTCTCATATTAGTAAATGCTGTTCTGGCTTGCTAAATCCTGCTACGTATTATCTCTATGTCTGGATCTAGATCTTCAGTTATCCAACTACCGAGATATCTGAACTTAAGGACCTTTTGGATGTTCTATTGTTTACTCTTATATTTAATTGCATATTTCGTGGTCTACTAACCACCATTACCTTCGTCTTGTCTATATTAATCTTCAAACCCCGTCGTTCTCCTTCAGTGTTTATTCTATCTATTAGTCGTTGTAGCGTTTCTGGGCTATTAGCTATAATGACTATCTCATCAGCATAGCGAAAATTACTAATAGTCTGTTCGTTGATTTTGATTTCATCTTCAGTGTCATTTAAAGCTGCTATCTATTATTTATTGAAAGTCCATCATTCGTTACCTATCACAAACATATTTTGAAAAGCTGGGACTGATTATCAGTTCTTTAGTCGATCGGCACGGATTGTTTAGATGGCTTAGTTTTTCTATATTTTAGTTGGTTAAATTGACGAATTTTAAAATTTTTTTACTAGGTACCACTTGAGGATCTAGAAAGAGCTTCCAAACTCATTGTTCAGGCATTGCAAATTCGCAAACGGTATATGGAAATGTCTTATCAAAACTTTTCTTCCACTGCAGGTAGATTTTTGGATCCTAATAAGGAACAACAAAAACACGACGAGAAACAGTCTATTGAAGGTTAGTATGTACATAAAAATTATATAATGAATAAATAAATAGTTTTGATTTAAGTATATATTGTAATATATTATGTAGTTACTATATAACCAATCAGTTAAGTTTAAAGTTTTAGCTTACTACTATTTAATTTGTTTTTTATTAGATTATATAATATTGATTTAAATAATTTAAAATATCCAATATTAACTATTATTGAGCTAATAGTGCCATTTTAAGATTTTATTGCTTAAAATAAGTAGAAAAACAATATTTACATCTGATTTGTTTTTTGTTAAAAATTTATAACTCATAATTATAAAAATACCATGTAGTGTGAGATATATATCATCATCAGAGGTCAAAACAAAATAGCTTCCTATTTAACATGTTTTAATTGTCCAATCAACGTTTCTAAAGCGAAAAGTGCATCTCCAATATATCGCTTTGCCTGAATTGCAGATCAGATAAAGTCAATCCACTCCGCAGACGGTTTAGGGGATTTCAAATGAAGAAAGATAACTTTGATCAGGCAGATAGTTCCTTCTTATGGTTAAGTAGAGGTTGTGGATCGTGTCGACTCCAAAGTTCTCTCTTCCATCTGCTTGGTGAAGTCACCAGCTGTTTTGTGTGATAAAGGAAGCTGCAGCGTGACTTAATTCGGGCGGGATATTCGACGTGATCATGCAGAGGTTATGGTGGTCTTTAGCTTGTTTGTCTTTTCGGCCTCTACGGCTAGAGCTCATTTGATCTTAAGTGGAGCTATTCCTACGATGGAGTAGATTTTAGAGACCATTGTTCACCTGCGAGGCGTATGTTGAGAGTCTCCAGAATGAAGCCGCATATTCGGCTGTAGAGAAACTTGGTGCAAGCGCTCAGGTAGGAAGGACATGTGGATGAGTACCCCAAGTTGTACCTAGCAGTTTCTTCAAGATATTATTTCTTAATATGACTTTTATCTTTGTGGTCTGACAATAGTGTTTGTATGTGAGGGATCTGTCGAGGGTAACGTCTAGATATTTTGGGGTTCGATAGTACTTTAATTCCTAAGCCGACCACATAAGTTAAAGCTTTTTGTCAGTTTCTTTATTATTTTAATGAAAAGTAAATACCGGTATTTGTCATCTGCGTATATGAAATGTTTTGTTTCATGATGTTTTGGCTTTTTGTTTATAGCAGGGGAGCCAGCACACTACGTTGGACCAATCCGTTCTCCGTTGGTTCTCCATCGACTGTTTATACAGTCATGTTTATGGTGTACACCATATTTATAAAGTTGGTTAATTTGATGTATTTTAACACTTTGCACACTTTAGGGACTAGTCTTTTATGACTTACCGTGTCATACGCTACGGAAAGGTCAACGGACGCCATGCCCGTTGTCTACTTTCTTTTAAAGCCATCTTCAATATGATGGATCAGGTTGAGGCTCTGGCCACGTTGGAATTGGTCAGGACGGAAACCAGCTTGTCCCCGTATCAAAGTTTCGTCTATGGTTGCTTGTATATGATTTAGGATCATACGCTCCATGATTTTGAAACGGTGATATAGCAACGAGATAGGGCGATAACATTAGCTTTTATATATTAAGGAGAAAATATGCAGACTGCAATATCCAGATAACAAAAAGTAGAAAAATAGTAAAAAAGAAGTATTTTTCGGTTAGGACAACGTTCCTGCCTAGTAGTCTACAATTTATCTACAAGATTTGTGTACAAGACACTCTCACCACCTTTACACTTACCGATATACATGGAGGACTGTCAAAATACAGTCATGTGAACGTACTGGGCAATGGTGCATTCTTTGACGTTTTTTTTCACGCTATATACAGGACAGCATCAGACGCTTTAGTCCTGTTGGCTCGGATCTTTAAACTTGTACTGCTACTTATATAGTAACATTATTAGGTAAAGGTAAAGGACTCTCACAGTTTTGAAACATACTCGTATATATACGATAATATGCATATTTTAATTCGTTTGAACTTAGAAATATAAATGTTATCATTTACTAAAAATTCAGATGTAGATGTAGTTTTTTCACTTTATTTTTTTCAATAAGTGGTATATTAGAATTTAACTATGGCTTGATTTTTTTATTTTTTGCTATATTTATGGGTTCAAATGTATTTGGAATACAGCTATACCATTTATGTTTATTAAAAGTTAGAAGTTTGCATTTGTTTGTAAAGTGATACTTATAGAAAAAATTAATTTTAAATGGAATTTTATTTCATTACAAATATCACTACTTATATACACCTGTAAAAATACAAAGATGAAAACAATATTTTTGTATATTGTTATATATTGATAGCAAATTATTCATTCATCATCTTCATTAATCTATACGTGTCCACTGCTGGGCATAAGTCCAGCTGTCGTCAGTCCATCTGGTTGGTGGGAGGTTTCTGCTTCGTAATACTTCTTGTCTTGACTCCCACTCGACGATACGTCTTATTCATCGATTGTCATATAATCTTACGATGTGTTCTGCCCAATTCGCTTACATCTGGCGCTCCATAGCTCTCTTGTTCACGGGAATCTTGTTTAGTACCTTTTTCTGATTGTTAATGTTTCCGCTTCATAAGTGAGGAGATGGTGAGTCACACTGGTAATTTTTTTTCCTTTGAGGCATATGGGTAGGTCCGATTTAAATACACAGTTTAATTCACCAACCCCCGCCCATGTTAATCCTATGCGACATGGGAGCTCTCACATGTCTGGTTATCTCTGCCCAACCGAATTTCATGCCCTAATTATTAACGCGACGCATTTGCTCAACATGCCTTCCATCAAAAACAATATTAAGGCTTAGTCAGCTTACAGCTGACAGATTAGTCCTTATATGCCTCTTGGTCTTTTTATGGGTCACGACTGTCAGGCAACACTTCTTTTCCGTTTCTTTTATTGCCTTTGTTATGCCATTATTTTGCTTAAACTATATACATCTTAAAACATCTGAAAAATAATAAAGTCCTGGCACAGATAGAATGATGCAGCACTGATAAAAAATGGTGGATATGTGCTATGGAAGTTATCCATATAACTAATCTGCCGCATATGGACACTAGAAGTTATCCAGAGAACATAATATTGGGAAAAGACTACAAACTTGTATAAATATAACATCATCAACATTATTTATTAATTAGTTATACAAGATTGAGAGTTTTTTGGTTTGATTGTTTCCCAATTTCTTAAGAGGAACTCACACTGGCAACCTTTCCTTCACTTCATCTCAGAGGATTGAAAACATACTTCGTATGTACAAGGCGAAAACAAACGACTGTGCTAAAATTATAGGGACATAACAATGTTTAATGTCACCTACAAGATATCAGAAATTATATACAGCCGTTTAGAATCATTTTCGGAAGATATAATTGGTGAAAACGTATGTATATGTTAAGAGGTATCTACACATGAAAGATGTACTGAATATACCATACCAATTTCCAACTTTTATATTGACAGAAAAAAAAAGAGTTAAAACAACTATCCATGTTAGGAATACCGAAATAATTAGTTAAACTTATACAAAAGATTTTCGAGGGTTCCAAAGTCATGTTGAGAATAGATGGGGATAAGACAAAGACATTTGATATTGAAAATGGAATTAGGCTAGGGAATGTCCTATCAACAACACTTTTTACTCTAAATTGGAAGCTATTATCAGAAAACTGGATATAAGTGGCTGTAATAATACAAGATCCACTCAAGTATGCGGATGATGTTGCCATAATAAGCCGCAATAGAAGGGCATTAAGGGAAAAAGCTACATATTTGAAACTGGAAGTCGCTTCTTTTGTTCTAAATATAAATGATAGAAAAACAAAATGTATGGAGTGCACAAAGTCGAATCGACGTGAGAATATAAAGGTGGACAACCATACCTACAAATATGCCACACCTTTCTATACCTAGGCTCAATACTAAATGACAGCAACAACGTCAGTCAAAAAATACAAGCACGGATCCTTAGCGGCAGTCAGTGCTTCTATGATTTTATGAATACAAAGACCTAATGAAAAGTAAGTGACTGAATCATGAGCCTAAGCTTAGAATGTACAAAACAGTAATTAGACCAGTGGTCACGTATGGATATGAATCGTGGACATTTTCAACCACTGCTAGCACATTTACTAGCCATTTCTCCAAATTTTATTAGGATGCCTTCTATGTTTCAACTAATTTTCTCTCCTATTTATGCCCTGAATACTCCTTCTTCATCACAAGTTACATCTCTCACATGAATAAAAAAATATTCATTTTATAAAAAATGAAAATGTTAATATTAATAAATAACATTATTCTTATATTAATAAAGTTATTATTAACACAACAAAAGTAACATATAGTACAAAAGTTCAAGCTGTAAGTAAAGAGAACTCAAAATAATATTTTTAAAGTAGTTCAGGATATAGCTGTGGTCTAAAACTAATTATCTAATGTAATCATTTGTACCCGATGTACCTGCTTGTTATGACATAGATCGACAATATGCGGAGGTGCTACTAAGAACTGCCAGAGCTTCGTTTGATGATTCTGTGTTGAAGATTTTGACCGTTGAAAATGTCGAGAAGATATTAAAAAGTGGTCCAGGTAACTTATTCACATTTGTGTAAAAAACATGGAACTGCTAGTTTAGAAAAGCCCATTAGACCGGTCTTTGTGAATAACATTTTTGTATTTTGAGTGATTTTTTGTTCAGTTCTCTTTTTGTAAACACTTCTAATTTTTGATAGGTTGGTTGTCCAGAAGATCTATTAAACACATATATAACAAAATAATTGTTGATCAGGCACTTAATGCATACATTTTTCAAAAATATGTATTCACTCAAATGTAGTAATTTGCATTCACCTGTAGACACAAATTTGTAAACGCTTTTTTAACTTTTCATTGTAAATTAATAATATAACTAGTTAATTGTTATTAAATGAAAGTTAATTGTTATTTGTATAATTCGTAGATCTTAATCAAAATCATTTATTTCACGGACATAGCAACATACTTACAAAACAAATAAAAATAAATTAAGCAAAGAATTATCAAACCAATTGACAACTTATAGTGGTCGTATTTTTTTCTATGTCGGCAGTTCCACAGATTTCTTTAGCTTGATTTCGCACTCAACTGTTGACTTCCTAAATATTCTTGTGGTGTTTGATGTGCTATGCCTATACATTAACGTTTCCATCCAGTACTTTCTCGTTGTTTTGCGTGATCATTTAGACATTGCCACGTCTTTGGTTCTGGAGTATCTTGCAAATAAATGCCTTTCTTGTATTTATTTTTCTATTAAAGATAATTTCTTCAAAAAAGTATCTGGAGCCACAATATGTACCCTTCTTTCTTCTTTCATCGCCGGTAATTCACGGAATTCTTAATTCTGGGATCACATCCCCTTAAACCGAAAGTATGGCTCTGATATGAATGTTAATGCTACTTTTACCATCTGGCCTCGTAGTCAACATATTCGTCCTGATGTTCTCGATCATTTGAATACACATCAAACTATAAGGTTTAAAACTAAGATAAAATATAATGGATACTTCATTTTCTTAACGTGATGGTCAATCATAGGTGGAATGCTTGATTGCTTCATTCGAGATACAAATAAACAGACTCATACATATAGTATTATTTACACGTTTTATCACACCAATATACCGGCCCAAAAGAAATATTCTCTCGGGAGGTAACTCTAGGTCCACAATCCAAAAGCTTGCCCATCTTACTTACTTACTCCGTGGCGTTACAACCCTTCGCGGGTTTTAGCCGACTCGACAACATGCCTCCACTGTTTTCTGTCTTGAGCAACCTCCATCCAATTCTCCACGCCCATAGTGCTTAGGTCTCCTGCTATATTATCTCGCCACCGGAGACGAGGGCGTCCGCGTGGTCTCCTTCCAGTTGGATCTTCCTCCCACACCAGTCTTACTGTTCGTTCGTCAGAATGTCTTCTGAGGTGTCCTGCCCATTGGAGTCTTCTGGACTTTATTTCTTTTATGATGTTGGCGTCTGGGTAAAGTTCTTCAAGCTCTTTATTAGTTCTTATCCTATATTGTCCTGATGCTTCATCAAGCACCGGACCAAAGATCTTCCTTAGGATTTTTCTTTCCCAAACACGTAGTCTCTCTTCATTTGCCTTTGTTATCGTCCACGTTTCGCTTCCATACATCACAACGGGTCTATGATTGTTTTATAGACCTGTATCTTCGTACGTCGTGTTAGTTGTTTTGATTTTATAAGGTTTTGGAGGGCAAAAATACATCTGTTGCCGGCCTGAATCCTGTTGTTTATTTCTTGTGATCCGTTATTGTCTTCAGTTATTGTTGTTCCAAGATACTTGAATTCTCTAACGCGCTCAAAGTTAAAGTCATCGATGGTAATGTTCTGACCGATTCTGTCTCTGTTTTGGTTATTGCGGCTCATATTCATATATTTCGTCTTGTTTTCGTTGATTTGGAGCCCCATCTTCTCTGCTTCCTTCTCAAACCTTACGAAAGTCTCCTTCATCCTTAATCGCGTGTTTCCTATTAGATCTATATCGTCTGCAAATGCCAGTAGTAAGTTTGGTCCTTCTCGATGAAATACTGTATTCGGTTTTTCGATTCTTGCACTTCTGATTATGTGCTCCAGAGCTAAGTTGAAGAGTTGTGGTGAAAGTGCATCTCCCTGTTTTAGTCCATTGTTTATTTCAAATGTCTCCGAGTATTGATTGTCTAACTCTCACCTTACATCGTAACCGTTCCATACACATCCGTATCAACCGGACTAGTTTTTTTGGAAAGCCAAGTTCCTGCATCGCTGTCCACAGTCTGTCCCTACATACTCTATCAAATGCTTGTTTAAAATCTATGAACATCTGATGAAGCTCACGATCAAACTCCCAGCATTTTTCCATTATCTGTTGTATTGTGAATATCTGGTCAATTGTAGAGCGGCCCGGTCTAAATCCGCATTGATAATCTCCAACGATTTCTTCTGTGTATGTTTTGGTTCTTTCTAGCAGGATGTTTGCAAGGATTTTGTAGGTGGTGTTTAGCAGTGTTATTCCCCTGTAGTTAATACATTGCTTTTTGTTTCCTTTTTGTTTGTGTATTGGTACAATAACCCCTTCTTTCCATTCATCTGGCATTGTTTCTTCTTGCCAAATGTCTTGAATTAGCTTGTATATCGAACTGTACAACGCTTCTCCTCCATGTTTTAAGCACTCTGCGGGTATACCATCGCTACCTGGTGTCTTATTATTTTTGAGTTTTTTAATTGCCTGTATTACTTCTTCGTATGTCGGGTATTGGTCTTCTATTTCAGCTGTATGTACCTCTATGTTAATACTCTTAGCTTGCCCATCCATATCTAAATACTCTTCCACGTCACTTGGCATCTAAATCTAATTCTACACATACCACATATGTCTTCTATTTTCCATATATTCATCGCCGTCGTATCCAGAATAACAATATTCTTCACAAATAATATATAAGGAGCATTTTAGGACCAACAGGAACATTTCCCAATTTCTGCCACTTTTCAAAGATTTACCACCAATGGTAAACGGCAATAACCGACGATCTGAATGACGAGTTATACTAAGCCCAATACTTAAGTATATTCTTCCCCCGGCTCTAGGATCTTAAAGTGCTGGAAGACGATTCGTTAATTCTGACCTTGTCCGTGGAAGCCTCCAATCTTATTTAAAATCATTTATGTTTAAAATGAAGTAAAAGTTTAAGTTTGCTTTATCATGATCCTTTTTAGACTAATTAAGTTGATCTTACAATTATTTACTGTTTTGCAAACATCCGAACAAACTGCAACAAACCTGGTAAAGTTTATACCAACGATCTTGACTCCAATTTCAGGGGTGTCTTATGAGGTGTCCTTATAAGGTGTCATAGGTCTCAATCCAATACTGATTGGACCCACCTGGAAATTGGGACTCGACTCAACTTTTGTGACGATACCTAAAAAAGCAAATGCGAAAAGATGTAGTGACTACCGAAACATCAGCTTGATGAACCATGTTTTAAAAATGTTTCTTCGAATCTTGCACTCAAGGATGTATCAAAAAATAGAAGAACAACTTAGTGACATGTAGTTTGGGATCAACAATAACATTGAAACCAAAGAAGTACTTGACGTGTTCGTTTTCTTTGACTCCAACTCGTTTAATTACTTGATTTCTATATTCGTCGATTCTTTTTATTTCTTTATTTTTCCGATAAGTTAAATTAATATCATTATGATCACTATCGCTTTCACTCATTTTAAAAGATTTTTGTCAAGATATAATAGAAATAAGTCTACGTGAATTAATCCCGTACATTTAAACACCTAATCACACTGCGTACATAATATTTGACGGGATTTTCAATGGGCGGCGCCATTTAAAAATGTTATAGAACAAAGACGCCTGACCACACAGTAACGGGACTTGGCTCACACCGATGCAACAGACAGAGGTAACTGGCGCACACGAAATCGTCATGATACGTAATAGTTCTTTACTTTCTGGATGACCACGTAAAATACCATCAGAACATAGCTTCCGAACAACAATAAAATGGATTCAGAACCACAGTACGTTGTGATATATAGCATACATGTGCCCATATTTTTTTAAGTATATATAGGGTGTTTCAAAAAAGTATGTCATAAATTAAATCGCGCATTCCGGGTTTAAAAATAAATTGATTGAATACAAAAGTGGACACAAAAAATGTTACAGCCCTTTGAAGTTACAAAATAAAAATTGTTTTTTTGCATTATCTCCTAAACTACTTGACAATTTGTAATAAAAATGGATACGTTACTTTCTTGTTCTGAAAGCATTTTTCATACAAAAGAAACAACAAAATGTAAGCTCACCGAAAAATTTTAAGGGGGTATGCAGCCCTAAATCCCCTCAAACTTTTGAGTACGTTCAAATCAAATGAATTTTGTGGCATCATTAGTTTAACACATTATTTTTAAAACTTTTTTTGCCTCTTATCACTTTTTCGAGAAACTAGTTTTTTCCTAGTTGGCCATAAAATTTCAATTAGTTTCTACGGATACAATAATTACAAACAGTTCCATCAATAATAGTCAATAATTTGAAGCTATCATTTATTGTGTGAATAAGATTAATATTAAAAATTTTGATATTACAATGGCCTACACATTTCAGGAAATCGCAGATATGCATTTAACTTTGGGTAAGTTGGATCAGATTAAATTATGATTTCAATAAACTATCGGGAATATCGTAGGTTAATGTCAAGGAAATAGTGCAGCAGCGGCAAGGCGTTATGCAGTAAAATACTCCAATCGAAATACACCCGATAGACGATTATTTCTGACCATTGATCGTCGTTTACGAGAAACGGGTACATTCCAACCGCAAGTTGCTGGCAATAGTGGTCGTCCAATATAGGATGCAACTGATGAAGATATTTTAGAAATCATTGAAAAGTCCCTTGAACAAGTACAATGGTAATAGCTGCTCAACTAAATGTTCCTCGCGTAAGGGTTTGGAGGCATTTGAAGAAGCAGCTGCTTAAACCCTATCACTTAACAACGGTTCAAGAGTTATTGGTTGAAGATTATCCTAA